CCGATGAAAAGCGGAACGCGAAGGAGGCGAAAGCGGAGGAGGGGGGGGGGGGCAGGGAAAGATGGGGGAGACGCGGAAGGGGGTCGAAGAAGAGGAGGAGGAGGAGGAGGAGGAGGAGGAGGAGGAGGAGGGTGGAGGAGGAGGGAGGAGGAAGAGGAGGAGGAGGAGGAGGAGGAGGAGGAGGAGGAGGAGTCACGATCTGGTCTTGCGGCGGCACGGGGGCTTTTTGAAGGTGGTGCATGGGCCTCCTTGGTGTTGTCTGGGGCCTGTTGGGAGCCTTGTTGGGCTTCGCTTGGGGCCCCTTGGGGCCCTCTTGGGAGGTTCTTGCAGCGGGATGAGGGGATCTCGAAGGGAAAGGACCAGCAAATTGCCCTCTGGGCTTCCTCTTGGAGCCGTCTGGAGGCCCTCTTGGGCCGTTTTGGGCGCTTCTTGGGTCGTCTTTGGGCCCTCGTGGACCTCTGTCTGCAGTTGCCGACGCCGTCCTGGGAGGATATGGGAGGTTTCATGGCCCGTGTCAGACGCTGCGAAACCGCCAAAGGACAACATGGCAAACATGAGCGTTTTACGAAGGGAATGGGACGATTTCTGCTTCTTGATGCTCGCTTGGGACGCCTTTGGGGGGCCTCTTGGGTCGTCTTGGGGGCTCCGGTGGCCATCTGGAAGCCATCGTGGGCGTCTTGGAAGGATCTTTCGGCGACTCGTCGCCCTCTTGGACGGTCAGGAGGGCGGTTTGGTGCCCTCTTGGCTCGTTTCGGGGCCCTCTGTTCCCCCGCGGCGCGTTCGGCGGCGGGTCGTCCGAGGCGAAGGGGGGGGGGGGTCAAATTGCCGGTTCGGGGCCCCAGGGGGGGGGGCTTTGGGGGGGGGTCTCGCGCGCCTAGAGACCCGCAAGGGGTCGGCGGTTTTTCAATGGTTTTCATATTCGAGCGGCGCCCCGAAAACACGCAACAACATATGTTTTCGCCGCGCAAATTTTCACGATGACCACCAGGTTTTCAAGATTGTCATCTAAGTGTTCCAAATGGGCCTATGGCGCCGCATGTCGAATTCATCCGAACGCCCTTGCGCGCGTGCTGGAGGGGCGCGATCCGCGTCAAATGATACCACGCGGGCCACTCGCGCGCGTCGGCCGCGCGCGCATGTCGAACTCCTCCCAAAACCTTCACCGCCGACGCGATGACATCGTCACTGTTAACGGCGGGCGCGATCAACGTCGGCGCCGTCGCTGGCCTCGCCGTCGTCGTCGCCGCCGCCGTCGCTATCGTCGCGAGTCCCATTATCGCGTTTACCGTTGTCGGGTCGGCCTCGTCATGATACCGCGCCCGCCCACGTCGCCGACTCGAACTGAAGTGCCCGCTGCATGTGCCCAGCGGTCAGCGCTGCCGCGGCCGCGTTGGTCGCGCCGCACTGGCTGCTCGCCGCGCGCGCGAGCGCTCGCGGGCTAGCGCGGCCGCAGAGACTCGCCAGCCAAAGCCAAGCACTCATCGCTATCGCCTTCGCACGGGATTTGCAAACCAAGTTGCGGGCGGGCACGTGGGGTGATTTCGCGAGCAGTGGAGTTGGCAACTCGCTGCGAGAATGATCGGGTTCTTTTTCCTAGCAGAGTAAGTATTATGATCTCCCCTCCCCCCCCCTGGACTTAACGGGTCACCTTTGCAATATACGTGTGATTCTACCCCATCGTCCATCCTGAATGCGGACTCAGACCATCCCAGCCAGGCTGCGCGCGCGTTTGTCGAACATCACAAAGTTTCATGAGTCCGTTCTGCAAAAATAGAGACGAAGTTGCGCGCGCGTGGTCGCGCGCGCATGCCGGAATCTTCCAAAAACCCCAGCTGTCGCGAGGATTTCAAAATCGAGTGCCCCGACCAGTTTTGTTTATATAGGAAACACTTGTTTCGCAACGAGGATTACCAACACAACAAAACAAACTGGCGCTCGGGCTGTTGTATATTTCTTAGAAACCAAATATTTCTCAACTGGTTCATAACTCGCAACCAGAGGGGCGCCCCGCGCGCACATGTCGGAGTCGCGCGCGCGCTGTCACGGGAACCCTTTGAAAAAGAGGGGCGACATGCATGCGCGTGCGTCGTCGCGCGCGCATGCGGAGATCCTTCAAAATTTTGGGTTTTGCACGGAAATCAAAATCGAGTGCCCCGACAACACACACACATCTATATACATATATATATATGTATATATATATATATATATATATATATATGTATGTATATATATATATATACAACACATGGTTTTGCAATTTCAGCTTTTTAACGTGCGTGCGCTCGCGCTCCTGCGAATTCTCGAGGGAACCATCAGTTGTTCGACATGTTTAGTGCATTCGACCATGCGGGCGTCTCGCGCCGCACGTCGACATCAATCGAACGTCCTTGCGCGCGCGCTGGGGGGGGGGCGCGATCCGCAGTGCCACGCGGGCCACTCTCGCGCGTCGACCGCGCGCGCGTCGATCTCCCTCCAAAGCTTGCATCGCTGCGAAGGCGCCGTCATCGTCGCCGGCGTGATCAGCATCGGCGCCGTCACTGGCCTCGCCGCATCGTTGTCATCATCGTCACCAGCATCGCTACCATCATCATCTCATCTGCCGTTGTCGATGTTGCCACGATGCCGCGCCTCCCCAAGCCGCTGACTCGCAGCGAAGTGCCCGCTGGGAAGTGTCCGGCGGTCAGCACCGCCGCGGCCGCGCTGGCAGTGCCGAGCTAGCTGGCCGCTGCGCGCGCGAGCACGCGCGGGCGAGCGCGGCCGCAGAGTTGCACCGACCGATTCCAACCGCTCATTGCAATTGCCGCCGCATGGGTTTTGCATGCCAAATTGCGTGCGGGCGGGTGAGGTGATTGCGCGAGCAGTGGATTGGACAACCCACTGCGAAGAGAAATTAAGTGCGCTCCACATAGGTTGCACACCATGCATGGCCAGAAAAACATTGTTCGGGGCCCGCGTTGGCTAACATGTATATACGTTCCCCAAGCAGTGTTTGCACTTAGGGGCTCACCCTTGTTACTGAGGAACTGGGCTTCTCTGTCAGTCTGGCGGTCATGTTGCCGCCGTCGCCGCCCCGTCGCCGCCTCGTCGCCGCCGCCCTTTCCACCGCCCTCCCGAGGGCAGACTTAGAGGTTCGTCCTGGGGACGTGCAACGCACGCACGATCCTGCGGCAGGATCATGCGTGCCCCATCGTTCATTCTAAATTTGGAGCAGGGTGATCCCAGCCCAGCGGGCATCGACCCCCTCCCTCTCGTCCTCGACCAAAAAACACCATTCGCGCACACTCGTTTCAACAAGAATCACCCATGCTCAATAATCCTTTGTAAACATCAGGACGACGCGCAAACATCTGTAAGCGCGCGTGTCGTCGCGCGCGCGTGCCGATTTTTTCTTCAAGCCGTATTTTTTTCGCGGGCTTCAACATCGAGTGTCCCGAAAACATATAACAACACATCGTTTGCAACACTATTGACAAAACGGGTCTGCGCGTTTTTTCCGGAGAAAGCCAACGAATACATATTGCGTCGCAGTTATTGTTCCATTCGTATTGCTCCACATCTATTTTCTTTTATAGTATATACATTCTACACCCCCGCGGGATTGTCCGCTCCCCGCTTCGTATTGCAATTTACATGGTCCTGCCCCATCGTCCATCCGAAATATGAACTCGTACCATCCCTGCCGAGCCAGTATCCGTCCCCCCCGCCATTTTCAGGCCCCCAGAGACCAGGACACAGATAAACCAGGACACGGAAAGCCAAAGAAACGACATCCTTTCCTGCAAAGTCACGGTTTTCAGCACCCGTGCATTTTTTGTTTGCTGCACTGCAGGATTCGGGTGCGTGTCCGGGTTAAGGGGGGTTTTGCAGGCTTTTGGGGCCTGTGTCCGGGTTTCTTCGGGAACTGCTGCAGTGCAGTATTTTTGTTCGTGCCGCCGTTTGGAAACATTGGTTTCGAGGGATATTGGGTGTCGGGGTCTAGCGTGTCCGGGTCTACGGGTCCCTGACATTTTCTGCAACAAATGCTATGCGCGCGCATTCGTCTAAACAATCATAAGATGTCAAGAATCCTGGTTGCAAAAAGGGGACGAAGTGCGCACGCGCGCGTCGTCGCGGACGCATGCCAAAATCTTTCAAAAACTTCGGCTTCGCAGGGTTTCCAAAATCGAGTGTCCAAAACACATATAAAAAACACAGGGGTTTGAAACACGGGCTTTCAAGCAATAGAACTTGCGCGCACGTTCTTGCGATTTCTTAAGGAAACTATGTTTTGCAACATTTCACATCACATGCTCCCAAACGGTTTTCGCGCGCGCATTTCGAAATCGTTCGAACGCCCTTGCGCGCGTGCTGGGGTGGCACGATCCGTGTCAAATAGTACCATGCGGGCCGCTTTCGCGCGTCAGCCGCGCGCGCATGTCGAACTCCTCCCAAAACCTTCATCACCGACGCGAAGACGCCGTCATCGTCGTCGGCGTGATCAGCATCGGCGTTGTCACTGGCTGCTCGTCACCAGCATCCTACTATCATCATCTTGTCTACCGTTGTCGACGTTGTCATGATACCGCGCCCGCCCACGTCGCCGACTCGCATTGAAGTGCCCGCTGGGATGTGCCGAGCGGAAGACGCCACCGCATTCGCGCCGGCCGCGCCAAGCCGCCAAGCTAGCTGGCCGCTGCGCGCGCGCGAGCATGCGCCGCCCAGTGCGGCCGCAGAGATGCACCAGCCAACACCAAGCACTCATCGCAATCGTTTCCGCATGGGTTTTGCAAACCAAGTTGCGGGTGGGTGGGTGGGATGATTGCGCGAGCAGTGGGGTCAACAACTTCAACTTCGGCAAGGTGAATAGATTGCACCACAGGTGTTGCTAGAAACGCACTGCATAGGGCCCACGCTGGATAACACTTGTGTGTATACATATATATATATACACACACGCGTTAGCTTGTTTATCTATATATTCCGCTTTCTCCCCCCAGACGCAGCAACCACGCCCCCAGGACGCCGTGTTGCGGGCGGCGCAGCTGCTGGGATCGCGGTGCGACAAGTGTGGGCACGCGGTGACGACGAAGGAGGCGGACGACCTGGCGGCTCTGGCGGGGCCCTCGGCTCTGGGCGCGGACCCTCGCAGAAGTCAGGGGCAACTACAACAAGGGGGATAGGCTCAGAGGGGGAACGCATCGACCCCCAATCGCCCATTGATCGAGGAGTCTGATAGCCCCACCCCGCCCAGGAACGTGGGGATTTGCTATCGGTAGCGTTTCGCTGATCCATCGGCGCTGTAGCGCCGATTCCAGCTCGATGATACCCCCCTGTGCCAGCCACCCCTACAGTCGGAGCGAGGTATAAGATCGAGGTCGGTTCGGGGAGGGTACTCTAATGTTCTGTGTGTGTTGTTTCAGCTGCTCATGCCCTTGGAGGCTCTGTGTGTTTTCGGCTGGCGGAGGGTCCTATGTTCTTGAAGGACGTTCTCCTGTCCTAGGTCCAACGTCCGACTGTATGGTGTGTTACTCTCCTT